TTTTTAATAATTTAAGTTTTTTAAATTTGTTATAATGATTAAAATATTATAAATTATGATATAATTAAATTATACGAAATTAGATTTTAATGAGTAATTTTATAATTATATTAAATACTAGGTGTTCTCTATAAAACTACAGCTAAAAAGCTCTAAAATAAAACTTTTGATTATATATATAAATTTATTATAAATTTGCTATGACTTTCTACAGTTTTTAGAAAAAACAATCTAAAAAAAATTACTAAACACACATATATCTAAAAAAACATTGTACAACTACACAAAAAGACTTTAATCCCAAACACACCTTTAGAGTTATATTAAAATTGCTAAATTTATAATTTTTTTAATAAATATATAATAAATCTTTTTAAAAATACCCAATAAAGAGATTGAGGTAGATAAATATAATAGTATCTTGATTGATGATTTTGAATATCAATTAGAGTGCTAGACTTTACTTTCAATTCTTTAATAATTTTACCAAACATTTCTTTAATATTTTTTATTTTCATTAAATACCGAATTTGGATTGAATCCAAATTCTATTCATGCAAGTAATTAATAATTTTAATATTAATAGATAAATAAATGTTTATATTTTAATATTAAAAAATAAAACATGCTATATTTAAGTTTTATAAATAAGAAAATAAAAAATAATAATAACAATTATCTTGACTGATTTTTTATTAAAAATGAAAAGAATATTTTCTTTAAAAAGCATTGTCTCTCTTCTTCTTCTTTTTTTTTTTTTTTTTGGTCGTTTTTATAGAGCTTCAATTGTATTTTAATTTAATTATGTTAAAATTGATGTTTACAAATGGAATTTTTATATTTATAAAATATAAATGCTAGTAATTAATAATTTAAATATTAATAGATAAATAAAAGTTTATATTTTAATATTAAAAAATAAAAATAAAAATAAAAATTGACAATAACAATAATTTTGACTGACTTTCCCATTAAAAATAAAGTTATGGAATCTGGAATTAAAGTCATACCATGATCATCCATGGTATAATTAAGATTATTTTGGGAAATTCTTTCACTTCTGCTCTCTTCCCCAGGTACTTAAGACATATAATTTACGTCATGATCACACCTACCAAATTTTTTGTCCTTAATTGCATGTTGCCTAATTTAATTATGAAGTGCAAAAGTTGTAACTACTACCTTCTTTTATGTTGTGAATGAATACTTTCGCACATTGGATAATATTTCAAATCTATTTTTCCAAACCCCAATAAATCTTTCAAAGATATTTTTAAGAGAAGCATGAACATGGTTGAATATTTCTTGATAACTCATTGGTTGGCTTTCACGTCTAAAATAAGAAATGTGATACCTTTCTCCTTTATAAGATGCCAAATATCATATTATATTTGGATAACCAGCATCAACAATATAATATTTGTTTGAAATATATAACAAAAGTTATTAATAATAAACAATGAAAGTATACTTAAAAATTGACTAAAAATATGCCTTTGTTATTATAATATAAAATAAATGAAAAGTCATTACCATTAGGAGGATGAGGGAATGCATATTTATACTTTTCCAATGTATCATTAACAATGCGTGCATCATTAATAGATCTAGGCCAACTTATAACTACAAATGTAAATATTATGTCAAAGTTACAACCTACCATTACATTTTAAGTGGCGGTGCCTTTTCAACCTTTGAATGGTACTTGATCTTCAAATGAAATCATGGCTTTAGCATGCATACCATCAATTGCACCAATACATCCTTTAAAATCAAGCTAAAACTTATTGTCTTCCTGAAACTTATTGTCTTTCTGAATCTTCTTTGGAGTTTCAATAAAAGTATAATCAGGTGGTTTGACAATATCAATTGAAAATCTCACCAGTGCATCAAGAACCTCACCAAATTTTCTACTTATTGTTTCTCTTAAATGTTTAAAATGATTTTCAACATTTTGGTTAGATTCATTATGTGCACATGTCTAAAGAAATATTGCATGTGCTTCTTCAACACATGTTTCTGTTGTTGATGTTAGACCATAATCACTAACCAACAAAGAACATAATTCCCTAAAAACATGTGGTTCTATTCTAAATATTCTATAACTCTCATCTAGAGTTGCCAATAATAAAAAAACAAATTATTTTTTTTTTTTTTTTTTTTTTCATCTAGCTTCTACCTCTCTCTCTTTGTTGTATAGCTTCTTCCTCTAGCTTATCCTCATCACTATTTTCTTCCTCCCATCTTGAATCTAAATCCATCTACGAAGAAAAAGGAAAAAAGTTGGGGGAAATATGATCACAACAAAAAAAATCTTATTATTTTTACAACAAATTTTTG